CCGAGCATTACCGGTGTCTGCAACAGACATACAAAATGCTTCTGGAAACGACCCCATCATCAAGATGACGATGAAATATGTCACTAACGGTTGGCCGTCGAAAAAGTTTGAAGGTGACATGAAGCAACTGTATCAGCGGCGGGAGTCACTATGCATCGTCAACGATTGTCTGATGTTTGGTGAAAGAGTAGTGGTGCCAGCATCCCTTCGTGCAAAAGTGCTGAGACAGCTCCATCTTGGTCATCCTGGGATTAAACGAATGAAGTCCATATCCAGAAGTTATGCATACTGGCCTCACATGGATCAACATGTCACAGCGTTGGTTGAAAAATGCATGCGGTGTCAGCAGGCGGCAAAGATGAATGCCGAAATTCCGCCGGTTTCATGGCCCAAACCTGAGCATCCTTGGTCCAGGATACATGTCGGCTTCGCTGGCCCAATAAATGGAACTATGTATTTGATTGTCGTCGACGCCTTTTCTAAATGGCCGGAAATCAGCCCCGTTATGCCGCCCACTACAACTAAGACTATACAGCTCCTTTCTGAAATTTTCTCACGAAACGGCATACCAGATGTGATCGTATCCGACAATGGCTCTCAATTCACCTCTTCCCAATTCCAGAATTTCTGTCAACGGCTAGCCATTAAACACTTACGCTCGCCACCATACCACCCGCAATCGAATGGACAGGCGGAAAGGTTTGTGGATACGTTTAAAAGAGCACTGCTTAAGTCAAAATGGGAGGGGACGCCAGCCGAAGCATTACAAAATTTCTTTACATCTATCGGACAACACCAAATGAATTGTTACCGGAGCAAATGTCCCCAGCTGAAATCCTGATGGGAAGAAGATTGAAAACGATCCACAGCCTGATGCATCCGACTAATGCACCCTCATCATTAGAGACAAAGCAGCAAAGACAATCCGCTTATGAGATGGTGGAGAAAACTTGTAGCTCAGGTGGATGATTGTGAAGGTGTTTTGTTCTCTGAGCTGGTTGTTTTGGTTGTGCTCAGAGAACAAAACACCTTCACAACAATCCGCTTACGAAGTAGGATATCCTGTGTTTGCCCGCGACTACAGAACGAACCATGGTCCTTGGGCAGAAGCGAGAGTGGTCAGAAGGGTTGGTCGAGTTATGTACGAAGTAGAGGTAGGAGGTGATAAATGGTCACGTCATCGGAATCAGGTACGCAGACGGCTAGCCCCAGATCGCCCTTCAAGAGCAGAAAGCCTTCCCCTTGACATCTTGCTTGATACCTTCAACCTACCGAGAGCCCCGCCACGAGAAGAAACTCAGCAGCAAGCTGTTCTTCGTTCCCGAAGGTATCCCCTCAGACAGCGGCGAACAATAGTCAAGATACCAAGTCGACCCCAGGAGAACAAGCTATTAAAAAGGGGAGGAGTGTTGGGGATGTTAAATCCCTGAAATTCGCTTGATAATGCCGTATTTTGGTTTTCACGTTTCGCCAGCATGGGCTGATCAGATGACCTTGAGATTTCAATTCCCACCAGCAAAACCAATGGCTGTGATTGGCTGCAGTGTATTTTGGGATGCTATTTTCTTAACTGTCTCAAGGACGTTCTTATGTTGTATAAATAAACGAGAGTTGTATGCTTGATTGTACTGTGATTGCTGGGTGTTTGTAGAATATACTTTCTACGCTTACAAAGCCTTCTATTTCGATTTTGGGTATTCAAGGTAGCCTCCCTGGAAGCTGGTAAAAGTCTCGTTCGCGTTTATCGACTAAGGTAACTCGTAATAGCCTCAAGCATACTAAGTGACGAACTTATCAGTTATGAATCAGCATATCATTTTTTCTGGCAAACCGAAGGTATAATTACTCAGACTATTTTTTCTGTATTAGAACACTGCGTGTACACCTGCACTTATGTAGTTTATTAAAGGCAAGTCACTATTAAGATAATGGATAGTCAAATAACCTTATGAATAGAAGAGATCCAAAGGGACCCAACCATTATAAATTACGTTGGTTTACAGAATATAATAATAAATACACAGTGATCTATTGCTTCGGTGATAGTTCATTTTGTTTTTTTATCTCTGTTGCTCAAGAAGTTACGAGAGAGCTCATTTTCACCACAATTGTCTAGGTAAGCTTGTAACTGGATTTGTTAGTAGGAAGTGAAGCCAGTCGAAGATTACAAACGTGATTCATAGAGGTGGTTGACTTGGAAAAGTAACATCAATATTATTGGTTAATTACAATCTACTTTCTAACAAATGTTATGCCACACATTTATGCGTAGGCTGATGTTACTGCCCCACCGTCATGGTTGCTGGTCAGATACACCACCATCCTCCCTTTTATGATGTTCTGCTCACTAACGTTTTGTGGTATGTTCTAATAAATGTCGTAGTCTAAGAGTAATATATCTTAAATTAAAACCAAGAGAATACCTTCTTGACTTTGCATGAATAGTCAAGCCATTCAGTCTTGAGTATCTGTTCTAGTTTCACAATTTCTGAACTTCTAAAAGTATTATACGTTGAATTTGATTCTTTCTAGTTATCATGTTCACCTAAAAAAATCGCGTTGTTAGGGGATAACGCAACTACATAGCAATATCACAGAGAAAATGGATACAACAACCAGCGGAATAAATGCTACGGGAATCACGAGTTACCTTTCATCCGCAATTTACTGTTGTTATCGTTCTCTCTGATAAGTATTTACAGTGAGAGGCTTCCAGGGATTTTCGATGAAGAGTTAACTATGGCTTTTAAAAACAATAAAATAGATGCACTCCACCTGGAACCTATTCATTTTACCATAATACAGAATGTTTTGTCATATTTGAAGTACTTTGTGCATAAATGAGCCTATTTCTGGACCTCATAAGATCGATTTTTGCTAACAGAACAGAGCTTGGAGCAACAGCAAGTCCCTTTTGAAGCAAGGAGATAATAAATATGTACAAACAATTTCTAATCTTATACGCTTGCCAGATGCTCCATAGTGGTCAGATTCTTGCTGTATATGGCTTTTCTCAAAGTTACCAGATGACCTGTCTGATCATCAGCATAGCCACCAGCAAAATCAAAAATGACACAGCAGCAGTACTATTAAAAAATCCTAGCTGAAACACTTAAAGCATAAATAACAGTATCAGCAAGATTTGGGAGGAAGAATGAGTGCAAACGCACTGAATTTTAGGAAACCTCATCAAGATACTACCGAAACAATATATCAGCTAGCGTGAGAACTGTAGAGGCATCACCCTTCTCTTTATACCAGTAGTAGTTTTCAACAGAGTTGTTGATCTGGATGAAAGACTCCCTACAGGCTCCACTTCGAGATCAGCAGGCCGGATCCTGTGATGAGCGATCATATACCGACCAAAAAGCGACACTAAGGATTATCGTGCAATAATCATTTGAATAGAATTCATCACTCTACATTGACGTCACTTAATTCGGTAGAGAATTCAACGGTATGGACAGGATGACAATATGGACGCTTCCTTGAAACTAAGACTAAACTAAGACTACCTATTTGGGCAACATCATTGATGAGCACGGTGGATCTGATGAGTATGTGAAGGCACCGTTTGTCAGTGTAAGAGTGGCAGTTCTTCAAATGAAGAACACTTGGAACTGAAAACGAATATCAACTAACAACATAGTCACAATAAAGAGCAATTTAATAATACTTAGAAGGAATGTTGGTCGGCGGCGGACGCTCCAGTAAAGACAATATGTGTAGATAAAGTAAGTAGGCCTAGACTTTAAATGTTGTCGTGTTATAACTTACATATTCAGTCAGATTTGAGCTCCGTTACATCAACTACATATAGTGACGAGAAAAAAATTCCTTAATTACACAGCAGGTTACCATTCCTGGTACTTTCCTTGTGAGGCTAGTCCACTTGCGAATGTTAACGGATAGAGAAAAACATTAACATGTTATAAGCCTCCAAAATAGTTTATGAGATTCTGGCTTTGGTAATACATCAGATAAGGTAGACAGCCATAGTCATCTAGAATCACATACCAGTTATATAGTCAACATTGGACTATGATTATTTCAGTGGGAAATGCATTTAATTAGAGAAAGATTTATGTCGTATTTAAATGTAATCATAGAGAATGAATAGTTTTATTGCGAATAACGAAACTTATATATCAATTATTGTGGTTTTTGTTACGAGTGATTGCAAACACTGATATAGACACCACTATTTTTTGCTGCTCACTGAAGTATAATATTTAGTGTCATCATGCATTTTTTTCATTCATTAAGTGTGTAGAAACTGTATGAAAGAACGTTAATATCACGAGGGACTTCATACTATTAATGAAAATGAAATCCCCGGTGAAGATCATTTTCTTATAAAAAAAATCCGCTAACTAACCGAACTCAGAAATACTAGGTACTACATAGTTATCGGAAAAAGTCATCAGATGCTTTAAAAAATCAAGGGCCATTTCCTTTCTTCTTCTCAGACATTTGTGTGAATGATCTTCGCAGCAAATTTTGATTGGTCTTATTTTACCTATTGTTTTACAATTCCTGCATGTGAACACGTCAAATGCGCATCAATATTGTGTGGATGAAAATCGATCTAGGGACGAGGAGATGAGTGATTAGCGTCGAAACATTTCGATCCCGAATAAACTAGGAATCTTACTCAATAAAGCGCTAATGAAAAGGAGAAATAGCCAGATATTGTTTAGGGAAATGTCTCACCACTTTTACATTCCTTAAATCACAAAGATTTAATCCGAATTGACATGCTTAGGTTTTGTTCAACTACTCTAAAATCAAGTTTGTCGATAGGATCGAACGCTCAAATTAATCAAATAATACTTTTTTGAAGGTCATCTGGAGACTGTATTTAATCCAAAATTTACTAATCGTAGTAATCAATATCAGAGTTATTTTTGATCGAATATCTAAATTTTGTTCATTCAATGGTATTTAGAAGGGATTCGAGGATTAACTCAGTTCCAAATTCACGTTTTCTTTTCTGTTACAGATTCCGAAGTGCAATTGGTTCTCATCATACACTTACACTGAATAAGTACATTTGGCAATGAGATGAGCGTACAATCAACTGATAATCGAAAAAGTTTGAAAACCACTGATTAATGTAATAACAATCCAAACCTACATGTTTTATCTCGTGTAAAAAATATTGGATATTGGAAACCGCTGGCTTGTGAAAATGAGCACCTCGTTAGTTTTGCAATTCAATAATTATCTGTAGTTCTATTCGGTTTAAGTGTACAATGAACAACACAATTCTTGACGTCATGAGAAAAAGAGGATGGGTTGAAGTTCTCAGGTAACAAAATGATTGGTAACTTTGGGCAATAATTAGTTTTTTAACGTGAAATAATAAATAAAAAAATCTTAATTCTCAATAACCAATGTTTATTTATCAAACAGTGACATACCAAAAATGTATATTTAGTACTGGGCTTCACAAAACCTGATAGTTTTTTTGATTACTGCATACAAAGTCGATATAGGATACTAAACATTAACCGAACTTTTTTTAGATGCAAATACCTTTGTTATGGAGAGCTAAAATAAGGCAAATGGCCTTATTAGATTCTCAACATTTTTAACGGTCCTATTAATACAATGTACACTGTTTAATTCATTTTCCATATGTAAGGATAGGATATCAGGATACCGACAAGCGACCCTTACCAATCCTCGTGACTTGGGTAAGTATAAAGACTCACCCTGGTTTTAATTTACTGTCGGTAGGTGCTTTCATTGCATGCCATTATATAAAGTCCTATTAATTTACCTCTTGATTTGGACAATGTAACTATATATAGACTAAACGATATCGAATTTTCTGCTGTCTGAGAATTTCCTCTCAGATGGTCGGCTTTAGACAAAAGATTCAGATAAGATACGATATTAGCTGAGCCAATTTTTTGTATGGTAAGTCAGCATCCTATTACATAGTAACCTTTTCTAAGTTGAAGTGTCTGAGTCTTTCTGAATAAGGATACTTAAAGAAAACTTGCATCATTTTTGTGCTCCACTGTTATGTCTGGCCTACTATATCGACTTAATATTCGGAACAAAGGTTCATTGTTTGAATTCAAAATACCAGGTGCATCATTACCAACACCAGATATTGTAACTTAACCTTTAAATACTCCAAGATCTGGTAGTATTTAGAAAGGCTCCTCTTCGCCGCACCTAGATTGGAAGAAAGCTAGGGGCGGCCAAACCAAAACATGGCAGAAATCCATGAAGTCATTGACAAGTGGACTGAGCCATTTCGGTAGTTGTCGACTATCTGGCTGGGGTCCGCGAGATGATAATAATCGATGGTTAGAGACCTTGTATGACATGGCTCAAAACCGTTTGCAATGTCGCGGTTGCATTTATTCTTTGTGTTCTCTCAAATCGTAATCTTTTGGATTCTTCAACCCCTCCAGTTTTTACTTTCTAAACTTATCTCACTGAATCATACTTCTTGAATAATATCTTCTCATCCTAACCTCTTTGATTACTTCTAATACCCTTACTAACTTCTACTATAGGATTTGAATTGACAGTTACATCCCTCTGTGCTAATAATGTGGTATGGCGACATGGACTGATGTACTTACGTACGAAGTTCTACGTTGCATCTGACTGACTGACTGACTAATTATGACTTCGAATATTTGTAATTTTATTTCGGATAATCATATTTTACTTGTTGTATAGTAATATAAGTGCTCCTGACAACTGATTTGCATTAATGTATTCTTACTAAAGTGAATAGCCACTGATTTATCCATTCAACTAGCACTTTTAAGTTCTCTTCTTTAAGCATATTAACTTAGCAGTAACTTGCGAGTTTCTGCACTATAATTTCATCTTTAATTAATAGAACAGGTAATTTTAATACTCTCAATAGATCATTTACGTAAATTGCCGATTTACGAGCTCTTGTCGGTAAAACGAATAGAATATTTCGAATAACTTAACGTATTCACCGCAAAACCAAATTATTCCTTTCGGTGATTAACTTTACCTGAAAATTAGACTTCCTCCATTCGTTAACGCATAAATAAAGGCAACTAAACCTTTGTTGATCATGTCTATATTTGATGGAAAAGTAAAATGTAGGCAAAATGAGTTCCATAGTGTTCAAACAGATTTCTTTAGTTCCTTGTTCTTAGTTCAATTATGAATTCGTAGAGTTGTATTCATACAGCTAGTTCATCTTTTCGTGACCACCTGAAGAGTCTATTTTTATATGCACCAAGATAGAGATTCTAAATACATATTTAAGAATTTCAAAACAGTGGTTCCCTTTTTACGAGATATGATATATTATCTTATAAGTTCGAGTGATTATTCCTAGACTTTTACCAGGTTCGCTGGAATGCAAACTGCTTTGTGGGAAATCTTTGTTCAACTATAAGCGGTTTTTTAGATAGAATTCTATTTCAACAGACTTTGTGCGAAGGTCCGTTAACCTGTGAGAGACCGTTTCAACATAGTTTCAGAACCAAAAGCAGTCGAGTCACTTAGATATTGGATCTTATTAGAGTTGATTAAATTGAACGGAATTCAACTTTTTCTGAGACAGTATTATAATAAATCCACGAATTCCTAGAGTTATCGATTGGTACACAAAAATAAAAATTCCTAGCTTCAATATTCTAAACTAAGAAACTGCAGTCTTATACATGATTTGTGGTATGGATGAATAAGCTAAAAATAGCGGAAAATTGCTGGTCAAGAAATAGCAATATTCTATAGGTCAGATCTAAAAGGGTCACATTCGTAGACGTCCAATTAAAAGTTATCCATGCAACCTTGAGAAAATCAGCCAATCACAGTTTACAAATAATGAATGAATAATAGCTAATAAGAGACAAGTAAATACAAAGCAAAATAATATAAATAGGAAGACAGGAATTTGACCCATCGTACGCGTTCGTCTACAGAACAATGCCTCCTAAAGTTGTTTCCGGTAAGGCCGCAAAGAAAGCTTCGAAGGTGAAATTGCCAAAGGTTGATAAGAAGAAGAAGAGGAGGAGGAAGGAGAGCTATGCTATTTACATCTACAAAGTTCTGCGTCAAGTCCACCCTGACACAGGTATCTCATCGAAGGCAATGTCAATCATGAACTCATTCGTGAATGACATTTTCGAACGTATTGCTGCAGAAGCTAGCCGATTGTCTCACTATAATAAGAAGTCAACCATATCAAGCCGCGAGGTGCAGACGGCTGTCCGATTACTTCTGCCAGGTGAATTAGCAAAACACGCTGTATCTGAAGGCACTAAAGCAGTGACCAAGTACAGTGGATCCAAATAAACGTTAAAGTTTGTTAGTAGAGAACGCTTCCACGGCCCTATTCAGGGCCATCACTAAATGATTTCTATTTATTCTAGTTTTGGGTTGGGCTAATTAAAAAACGGGTTAAACGGCTAATAGCTTTTTTTTCACGATAACCTGTGAACGTAGGAGCGAGCCACAGACGTGATAAGTTGTTATACCCAGGCAATACGAATTAGGTTAGCTAATTGGCTAGCTTAAGTAATCTTATACTGGTATATCTAGCTTGGTAGCTTAACCACTCATTATCTATGCGTAAAAGGCAAATCGACGGTCCTGTGTTGAATGTATTATGACTTTATAATATCCGATCTGTAAACCTACGTAGAAAATTTTCGGCCCACCTTAGTTCCGTTTGCTTACCTGTTGATCGTAATAAATTGTTACACGGGCTGGCCACCGTAGTATGGACACATACTGCATGATAAATTGTCCTAAGACATTGTTAACGACAGATAGACGCTCCACAGATTGTTTATAATATGATTACTTAGCCTCGTATGGGCGCTTACCGATGAAGTTATTTTTTGTAACATGTAACATGGCGAAAAAGTTGACTGATTAGGATTTTAAACGTCTTGACATAATTTTTAGCTTTGTAAAAGTCGGATTTTCATTAAATTATAATAATCGTCCTCAAGATGTTTATCAGTTCATCATACTCCTGCGTGATGACGGTTTCGCAAAATAATTTGCCAGGGTTGCGGCACAATCCAGGTCGGTGGGACCAGGGTACCACGTCTCTTGACGTCATTTGGGCGATAACACCTGTTACCCGCAAGTGGCCAACTTAAGAAAACAATCTGCTTCTCCTGTGTTGAATTAAAGCAGTATTAAAAAGCATGCAGTTATTTCTGGCTGATTTTGAAAAGGCGTATGGCTTTTATAGTAGCTTTTTGATTGACTGGACTGGTGAAATAGGTGACCACCAAACTCAACAGAGCATATGATTCGGTATAACGAACGTTCTCAATCAACAGCAACGTAGAACTTCGTACATACGTACATCAGTTCGAGTTGCCATACCACAACAGCACAGAGATGTCGACACCTACCCACTTGTCAGTGACTTCAAGGATTTCTGCCATGATTTGGTCTGGTCGACCCTAGCTTTTTTCCAACTCACTCCTACATTACAAAACAAATCTGGTCGAAGCAGTCGGTGGTTAGGCATACGCAAAACATATCCCAACTACCTTGACTGATGAATTTTCACTACTTTGCCAGTTGGTCTGCCATCCTTACCTAGTACTTGTCTCCTAATTACAGCATTGCTTACACGGTTGTGCCAGGCTATACGAGCAATGCTTCGAAGACACAATCGAATTCTAATAGTCTACTAATGTCCTCTATTCTCACCGGCTCATTAAACTCGTCAGTTATTCAGTAAACAGATATCTCGTCTACGCCATAAGTGACGCAGGTTGGCGAAAGCCGATCTAGCCTTCTGTATCCGTGCTAAAATTTCGTCACACACCAGGCCGTAAACATTGATTTCACATTTCGTCAGGGAGAATCTCATCTCGAACATGTTTGCATTGTTGCTTAAGACTGTATTTTTTCAGCGTCCTCACCAAGTAGGACTATGTCATCGGCATATTCTAAGTCAATAAACGAGCCCCTTGGTGCAAGGTCTACTCCTGAAAATGTCTATTACAAAAATTAAACAAGAACGGAGAAAGTAGACATCCGGAAAGGACACAACATGAATTGATGAATTCTGATGACAGTTCGCCATAAGCTCTGAATCGACCAGTAATGTTCGAGTAGAGAGCCTGTATAAGGTCAATATACTTTATTAGTACACCTTTTAATGACAGAAACTGCCACAGAACCTCATGATCTACTGAGTCGAATGCCGCCTTAAGGTCGAGAAATACTACTATTGTCCGGCGCTGGAACGAGTTTCTATGTTCTAGTACCTAACGTATTGTGAATATCTGGTTTATACATCCACGCCCAGATTGAAAACCATCCTCGTTTTCTCTAGTGTGTTCTTCACAAATGGCTTCAAAATCAGTTAACGTCAGATGAGCCGGTTAACGTTGGAAATAGAAAACCATGTTCATCGATCGCAAAACACATAATTGAGACAGGGCATAAGATTGACATAAAGATAGCCTTCGAAACATTGTATAGAAATGTTGAAGGACGAATTTTGAGGTTTAAGGAGGCCTGGGCTATTAGAAAATTAAAACCCCTCCTTATGTTTGCAGAAACAATTTGTCATAACCTTGAATTTACCCTAGTAGTCTTTAAGTGACAATTTTCCTACCCTTTCTTATTCATTTCATATTACGTTAATTTTCTCTCTCCTTTGTTTACAATCATCACCGTATGTCTATTTGAACTTTCATTTATTTGACCTTTTATGAATCTCCATATAAAATGCCTTGACAAGTAAATATGTGTGACCAGACAGATTGTTCAAAATTGTATAGCGCGCATATATATCACAATATTTTTCCGATCAGTTATGTCTTCTCACTGTCCTATCAAAATTTATAAAAGGGATTAATCTCTAGTTAGTAGTCTGTATGAACTTCATTTATTCTCGTTGTCTCAATGAAATGAGAAAGTAGAATATTCAAAGACCCAATTTTATTCTAAAATGTAGTTAAAGAATTAACTGAGACTCACTGAACTTTGTCAAGTATTTTTGGGCCAATGGTAATTAAAGTATTTGTCTGAGGAAACCATTAGATTTAGACTTGGGAATCTTTGTAGTATATTCTAACTCACACGTAAATACAATGGATGATTATAGAAAATTGTGAGGTTTTGCTTTTCCCGTCAGCTATTCCTTGGATATTTAGAGTTATTTTCTGACATAAATTTATTTTATACTGTTTCAACTTTCCAGTCAGTCAGTCAGTCAGATGCAACGTAGAACTTCGTACGTAAGAACATCAGTTCATGTTGCCATACCACATCAGCACAGAGATATAATTGTCAATTCAAATCCAATAGTAGAAGAGGTAGTAAAGGTATTAGATGTAATCTTTAGAGGTTAGGATTAGAAGATATTATTCACGAAGTACGATTCAGTGAGAAAAGTTTAGAAAGTCAAAACTAGAGGAGTTGAAGAATCCAGAAGATTAGGATTTGAGAGAACACAAAGAATAAATGCACCGGCGCCATTGCGAAGGATTTTGAGCCATGTCATTCAAGCTCTCTAACCATTGGTGACTTTCGTCTCCAATGGTTTTGTTTCAACCCTGTAAAGTCAATTGACTTATTTAGCTTGTTTCTCTAGGAGTTTGAATTTTGAAACTTTTGATAAGATACATAAAATATCTTAATAACAACTTTAATTGTATTTCTGAAACCTATAATGTATACTTTTTAAAAGTAATTCCCAAATCCATATATCATCAAAATCCCCTTTTGATTGACGCTTTTCTCCTACCATGGTCCAGAATGATAGTGTCATTATCTGACTAAAGCCATAAGAGGTGAAAAGAGACTGAGAAACCTTGTGCTGCATAATTCCCTTCTTGAGGAACTTGAAAAGGAAGGTAGATTAGTGTCAGTCTTAGAGACCTGGGAGCGTAACCGCAGAGCCCAAGGTACAACTGCTTAAATCCTGTTACACACGGCCTTTTTATGGAAGGTTTTTTGAGTATTAGTTCCGCTCTTGAAAGCGCTTATTGAGCAGCCCTTACCGCAGGAGACGGAAATCCGTGAGGTAAGGTGAAGTGTGAAATTTTTAGAGTCGACCTTTTCTAACCCTTCCTTCCTTGTGAGAAAGCAACATCGCTGCATATGCTGGTTGTTCGCCAGGAACACCTAACTGCTGTCACACCTCTCCATCACAGTCAGCAGTACGACTTTGCATGTTTTCTTTCGTGAGACATAACTCAAATGTTAGCGAGAAAATATTAGCCATGACAATGGTATTTTTCGCGTTTTGCTACTTGATAACTGCACATTAATGTTTGACAATAACTTAAATTATATCAAAGATATTCTATTCGGCTTTAAATTTTGAAAATACACTTATACATCACAATTTTTCCTATCAACGGAGTAATTTTGTTTGCTGATAAGCAATTATCAATCTGTAGTAATACATTTAGAAGAGTTATGACATTTCATAATGAAAGCGAAATTTTTTCGAAAGTCATGTGGTCGATGCTCCTACTGACAACCAGAGCCTTTTCGTAGTGTGAGCAGCTGGGAAGTGACAATCGCCCTCATACCCTTAACAATACACGAGATCAAATCGGTCACAATCAAAATCTTTTCTACACCTCCTAATAATAAAAGAGTTTGTATCGTATGTGCGACTAATTAACCGAATTAATAATATCCTCTTATGATAGCTACTTAACAGTTTGGATTTGTTTGACTAAAGATACATTGGGAAGATTATATCAGAGGATAGGACAGTTGGGCATTGAGAATGAATCAATTAATGTTTTAAATTTGTATATTACTACAAAATTATGGAATACAAATCAAGTATAAATGAATTCATTCAAAAAAAACACATCGATGATTCGTGCATTTTAACGTTCTTGTAGTGTATTTTATGAATTTACAAATTACGTCCTGTGATTTTTAGGCTTAGAAGAAACCTGGAAGCACTGGACGGCCGTTTCGTCCTAGTTTTGGGACTCCTCAGCAGTGCGCATCCACGACTCCTGCACCCCGCAGGATTCGAACCCAGGACCTTCGGTAATGTGCGCGAACGCCCTAACCGTTAGACCACTGAGCCAGAACCGAGGTTCTTAATGGTGGTCTAACATTGATCGATTCATGGTTTCACAAAACGTGTAACTTAACAATCTTCACAACCCCGTAATGCAAATTACCTGTGCTCACTAGTGACTAGCTTCATGAGGAATCTTTTCCGAGTTCTAGTGGGAAGACGTGACCACTGTGAAGTTCAACCTGCTCGGGTGTAAGCAGTGTCTGCCGAAGACTGTGTATGTGGTTGCGTAACTCCGTGAATTTGATCAAGTTAGACATTAACACTGTTAGATACCGGCTCAGTGGTCTAACGGTTAGGGCGTTCGCGCACAATACCGAAGGTCTTGTGTTCGAATCCTGCGGGGTGCAGGAGTCGTGGATGCGCACTACCACTGAGGAGTCCCATACCAGGACGAAACGGCCGTCTTTCAGTGCTTCCAGGTTTCTAATGGTGGTCTAACATTGATCGATTCATGGTTTCAAAAAATGTGTATAAAACTAATGTTACTACCGGTCCCAAGACCGGATTAAAGAGGAAGATTGGTTATGGGGCTAGCGACCCTATTCCTTAGAAATCCAACTCGCTAAGAAATCGCTAACCAGAAAAATAATTCTCTGGTTGATGAACTATGCTACATTATGGGTAACAGGCGTAGGTAGGTAAGTAAGTAAGTGAGTAAATTAACTGTAAATAAATAAGTTGATATCCATGGGAATACATTTACCTGTATGATATCAACTCAAGTGAATGTACATATGCTTTTAACAATCTCAAAATAGAAATTCTCTTCTAACCTTAGTTAGTTCATACATACATACATTGTTTTTTTACTGTTTACAGAGAAGATGAATGTGAATTCTTTTGGTGTGATCCAATGACAATGAAAGAGTTATTTGATCATGGATTAATGGGAAATATTACGAAGATTTGTCATTTTCGAAATCATTTTGAGGTGATATATTTGTAGTTAAATATGCATGTATTATGCTTTCGTTTATTATGTACAGTAATATTTCTTTTTTTTTTCAATAAGACCGTGACAATTTCATACAGGAGATGAACAATGTTTGTTTTGTTTCAGCGGATTCAAAAAATTGACTATTGGAGTTTTGACTTAACCTAAACGTTTAACTATTCTTGAATTTTTTTTCGCTAATCAGTTATGTACAGTTTGTTCGGTTCACTTCTATTTTTGGCCTGTTTTGATATTTTAGCTAAGATTTTCTATTTCATGATGTGATCATGTAGTCCGATTTGTTACGTTTACAAAATAATGAGTGTTTGAGAAGGTGATTGATTTCTGACTGTTTGGAATATGATATAGAAGCTTAGACAGGAAAACACTGTGGAGGCTTCTTCGACACTACGGTGTGCCTGAAAAAATAGTTAACATCATACGGAATTCTTATGATGGATTCAACTGCAAAAACGTACACGAAGGACAGCTAACAGACTCTTTCGAGGTGAAGACCGGTGTCAGGCAAGGTTGCTTACTCTCACCCTTTCTTCTCTTTCTCCTGGTGATCGACTGGATTATGAAAACGTCGACATCTGAAGGGAAGCACGGTATTCAGTGGACAGTCAGGATGCAGCTGGACGATCTGGACTTCGCAGATGATGTGGCTGTTCTATTGCACACACGCAACAACAAATGCAAGAGAAGACGACCAGTGTAGCGACAGTCTCTGCAGAAGTAGGTCTCAACATTCATAAAGGAAAAAGGAAAATTCTCCGATGCAACACAACATGCACCAAACAAATCACTCTTGATGGAGATGCCTTGGAGGACGTCGACACCTTTACATATCTTGGCAGCATCATCGACAACCAACGTGGATCGGATGCAGATGTAAGGGCGCGGATTGGCAAAGCAAGGGCTGCATTTCTACAGTTGAAAAATATCCGTAACTCCAAACAACTTTCAACCAAAACCAAAATCAGGATATTCAATACAAATGTCAAGTCAGTTCTGCTGTATGGGGCAGAAACTTGGAGAACTACGAAAGCCATCATCCAGAAGACGAAAGTGTTTATTAACAGTTGTCTACGCAAAATACTTCGGATTCGCTGACCAGACACGATGAACAACAACGTACTGTGGGAGAAAACAAACCAGATTCCAGTGGAGGAGGAAATGAGGAAGAAGCGGTGGAAGTGGATAGGACACACACTACGAAAATCACCCAACTGCGTCACAAGACAAGCCCTCACTAGGAACGCTCAAGGTAAAAGAAAAAGAGGAAGGCCAAAGAACACACTGCGCCGAGAAATAGAGAGGAATGAAAAAACATTGGACAGAACTGGAGAGGGAAGCCCAGGATAGAGTTAGTTAGAGAAAACTGGTGAGCGGCCTATGCTCCATTGGGGGTAACAGGCGTAAGCTAAGTAATTTTAAGCTGTAGTTTAGTCTTCGGATTAAAAACTATTGAATTGATGTTAGGATAGCTCAAGGTTAGTTAAGTCCTGACTAAGGAGGCTAGATCACAAGTGAAATACTAAAACAGAGGCAAGAAAAGTTATAGGCATTGAGTTGAGGAGATTGTTAAGTTTATTTGAAGCCATGTACCGATTAATTTTAAACCATCATTGAAAACGCGAAAGCAGTGGACGGCCGTTTCGTTCTAGTGTGATGAAGTTCCAATATTGACTGATTCTTGATTTCAAGGCAAAAACTCTAATCGGAATTCCGACTGGCAAAATTAGCAAGTAATATCTCCATCAATTACTGAGATATAACATTCACTATTCTGACTTTATCAATGGAACTGAATTTCCAATCGGTATTTCGATTGTATTTTTGCGACCTCAGTAATTTCAACAGCCAGTCAAATATTAGTCATTGTATTTCTATTAAGCCCTTATCGTAATTTAGAAATTTATAATTCTCATTGTGGTGGTGTTTTGTTCTCTGAGCTGGGTGTTTTGGTTGTGGAGCTTTCATTGTTCTTCTTCTGAACAATGAACATCATCAGCACAAACTTCAGATAGCTGAAGTGAAGCATTCGAATTTCTCCACGTTTGACCTGTAGCTTGTTCTGCTAACCTCGATCTTGATTGGTTGTTGTTGTTGACCTTTAACCTGTCGTTGTTTGCATGTTTGTTTTGATTGTACCCCCCCCCTTTTGATCTGTTTCTTGATCCTATGTCCCCTATGATTTCTCTGATTGGTTGGTAAATTTGGTCAATGTCGATGTGTTTGTTGATTGCTGATTGACCTGAGTGTCAAGCTTCTAAAAATTCTCTAGTGTTCTTTGTCCTCCAATATTTTCACATTGTTCCAATCGAATGTGTGTCCATAATTGTCGGTATGCGTTGATAGAAGCGAAGAATTGTCGTAGCGTTTGACTGCTAATTGGTGTTCACCTAAACTAAGCTGAAGAGGCCGTCCATTTGGTCTTATGTAGTGTTTTTCACAGTTTGAGCAATTTATTTTGTAGATGATATATGGTTTTTCTTCCTTTGTCATTTTGTCCTTTGGTTTAAAAAGGATTGATTGAAGTGATTCTGTTGGTTCGTGTGCCACACCTATTTCAAACGGTCCCAGTAGTCGTGCTGTATATATTCCGATATGTCTTGTATGTGTCTGTCTTTTTGGCTCGGATGCAGCATCATGATTGGATTATTCCGTTTTCGTTATCATTCAAAAGCATTTTCAAGCAAAGTTGTACGTACAGTGGTTTGCAGCAGAATTTAAAGCACTTATTTCGTCGGATTTAGGACTCGTCAGTAGGATGTACCTTGTTGTGCATGCTTTTATGTCAAGTCTGCATGGCATGTTCAAGCTTTCAGACAAATTAGCTTATCTATTTTTGAGTCATTATTCCTGCGTTCCGGCAGTGTTTACTTGAGCGTGTGTCTGTGTATCGCTTACTTTACTGGTCACTTGTCTGTAGCTTCCTTTTGTTTTTAACTCGAAGTAGTTGGTCCATGATGTTTCATCAAACTAAGCTGGCCTTCTTCATTTCGCTTTAATTTACTCTTCTTTTTCGTTTCTTCTCCTGATGTCTGTTTACGCAAACGATCGTATGGAGTAAATTCATTCAACCCAATCCGTACTAGACTTTACTTAACCGCCGCCGCTCATACAGAGTTCACCCAAGGGTGATATGCGGAAAGAAAATGAAAGATTTATTCCAGTCAGTCAGTCAGATGCAACGTAGAACTTCGTACGTAAGTACATCAGTTCATGTCGCCATACCACATCAACACATCATGGATTTCTGCCATGTTTCGGTTTGGCCACCCCTAACTTTCTTCCAACCTATTCCTACACTATAAAACAAAGCTCGTTGAGGCAGTCGGTGGTTGGGCATACGCGGCACATGTCCCAACTACCTCAACTGATGAAGTGTCACTACTGCGTCTATTGATCTGCCATTCTTACCTAGCACCCGATTCCTAATAACAGCGTTGCTCGCTCGGGTGTCCCACGATATACGAGCAATGCTTCGAAGACACCTATGATCGTAAACCTATAACCTACGAATATCTTCTACTCTCACTGGCCATGTTTCACAGCCATAAAGTAAGACGGAGCGAACTACTGCGCAGTACACTCGTCCTTTAGTCAGCAAACGGATATCTCGCCTACGCCATAAGTGACGCAGTTTGGCAAAAGCAAATCGAGCCTTCTGTATCCGTGCCGAGATTTCGTCAGTCACCAGACCATCGGCACTGATGAGACTCCCAAGATAAGTGAAGCGATCTGTCTACACGTTCGACTAGATTTATTCCATTAGCATATTTATTCGTTTGTCTAAATTGAAGTCGGATCTCAGGTCATTAAAACCCTACATCCCAGATGTTGGTGTTTACTTTGAAATTCAAATCCAGTAACGTTCAATTTAAACGTCAAAGCAATTAACTACTTACCTACTTAGTGTTCAAAATGTTTCTCGCAAAATTACCGACAAACTAATCAATAAACTGATAGAATGATTCATTTATTTTTAGAATGATTATCTCCTCGCATATATTATGCAAACATATACAGAATTGTTTGTGTAGTTTCATCTTGAAATTATGAATCGATCAATGTTAGTAGACCACCATCAGAAACCTGGAATCACTGGACGGTCGTTTCATTTTAGTATGAGACTCATAACCAGAGCGCATCCAAGAGCCCGCACCCATGGGCATCGAACCCAGGATGTTCGGTCTCGCGCTCCATTGCTTAATTCAACTAATCCATTCTACCCCGAGCTACCATTCACTCGTCTTTTGACTTTGTCAACTATTAACTTTTATTTATCCGAGTATGTGTGTGTGTGTGTGTACCGCTTACTTCGCTTATTACATGTCTGTCTGACTTACTTTGTCTGACTATAAATACTTAGTCACGCATCGTCCAATAAAATTTGGCTAACTCGCCTTCTCCACTTTCACTCAATTAGCATGTATGTTTCTCTTTATCATGTCTGTCTGCATGAATGAACGACTGCTTGAACTAAAAACTCATTCAATCAAATCCGTATTTTTGTGTCTTATTACCACTATCTCACAAATAGGTGTTCGCCTGAAAGTATTGTAGTGAAGGAGAACACAGGTGGGGCAACCGAATTGTATTTAACGAAAATTACAGAGTTACTCAATAAAATCGGAAAACCATATCGTAAATCGTTAATTTGCAAAATATCAATTCATCATATCGAACTGGACTGTTCCTGTTGCAAAACATCAATCCATTGTCACTCACTATTCATGCGTTTCATACAAATTCCATTGTTTTCTAACTCTTCCCCCATCTTCTGCTGCCAGACATTACGTTGACACTCACGTCATATACTACTACTTATAAGTAGCTCACACCACACTCCAATGTAGAACCAAAAAATATGCACATTATTGATAGGCTTTAGGAGGAAATTCTCGGAGTTCTAGTGGTGAAAATACGTGACCAGTGGAGTTCAGTCCTATCGTATGTAGAGACAATAACTACTGAAGACAATGGATGAAGATGCGCAAAATGACTTAGATTGATCTGAGTTAGATATTTCCCCAGTGGTCCAGAGTTCAAGCGTTCGCATTTAAGATCAACGGTCCTCGGTTATAGAGTGTCCTGTGTGTGTGTGTAGCAAGAGTCATGACTGAGTCCTATACTATTAAGGAAGAAACGAAAGTCTTCTAATGCTTCCAGATTTCTAATGTTAATTTCACAATGATTCATTCATAATTTTCGATATTATTTAAATATCATCAAGTTTTGTTTTGTTTTTTCATTCTCATGCTACAGCTTACACGTAAAAATTTAATGGTTAAAAATTTGAAACGTTTAAAACGTAAATGGGAGAAAGAATACAACAAACAAGAAGGTCAAAGGTAAATAATATTACTTACTTTAAATAACTTTTTTCATTTGAAATCATCAATCAATCAATCATTGTGGTTAGACCATCATTAGGGGAACCTGGGAGAAGCACTGGAAGACGGCCGTTTCGTCCCAGTGTATGGGACTACTACTCATCAGCGGCAGTGCGCATCCACGTAACAGTGCTCACTAGTGACTAGCTAGCTTGGTGAGGAAATTCTCGGAGTTCTAGTGAGAGAAGACGTGACCAGTGGATTTGAACCCTGTCGGGTATGTGTAGGCAGTAACTACCAAAGACAAATATGTGAGGTCGCACAAAATCCCTAAATCAATCAGAGTTAGACATTAACACCGTTGAATGCCGGCCGGCACAGTGGTCCGATGATTAGGCGTTCATGCACAATACCATAGGTCCCGGGTTCGAATGACTGAGAGGTGCAGGACTTGTGGATGCGCACTGCCACTGATGAGTAGTAGTCCCATACACCAGGACGAAACGGCCGTCTTTCAGTGCTTCCAGGTTCCCCTAATGGTGGTCGAACAATCATTGATGAATTGATGATTTCAAAATGTGTAAAAACACAAATCTCCAAAGCTCTAACTGAAAACTTTCTAATTGTTAATTTATTTATCTATTCACTTTATAGGCTGGATTTTTTCCCAACAACATTTGAATTACCAGTAAGATAAATATCATCAGCATAATAAATTATTGATCTATTTTAAGATGGAATATCATATGTTCATTGAAGAATTTCGTCGATGTCCCGGTTCTATATGGATTATGAAACCTGTGGCTAAATCACAAGGCAAAGGAATATTTCTTTTTCGTAAATTAAGAGATATTGAAGCATGGAAACGTGCTGGAATGGTTAGCGAGTTACATAAAATTAAAAAAAAACATTTTCTTTCAACAGAAATGTGACCAGTTAGCTGTTAGTGATACTACGGCGGCCGCGGCTGCTTTGGCTAATCGTGAATCACCAGAAACTTATGTTGTTTCACGCTATATAACAAATCCTTATTTATTATGTGGACGGAAATTTGATCTACGTGTTTATGTTCTAGTTACTTCGGTAAGATATTTTAAATCAAATGGAATTTTTTTTCATTACAGTACAATCCATTGAAAGTTTGGATTTACAGAGATGGATTTGCTCGATTTTCTAATACAAGATTCTCATTGGATTCTATTGATGATCAATGTATCCTTTTGATTTAAACGTTTTATTAACGATTATTAAGTGTATTTTACATCAAATTATTATAGAGATGGTAGCGTTCTTTTTTTTTACCCGTTTTTACCATTATGAACTTGGAAGCACTGAATAAGGGCCATGTGGTCCTGGTGTGAGACTCATTAGTGACAATGAGCATCGTCAACTCCTGCTAATCGCAGGATTCGAATTCATGACCCTCATTCTTGTGTACGAACATCTAGTCTGTGGACCTTTGGCCTAGAATGTCCTGAGTTCAAATTTGGCGACTAGCAGGAGTCGTGGATTCGTCGTCCAGACACCATCAGCAACAGCCTACTGTGGGAGAAAACAAACCAGAAAACAGCGAAGGAGGAAATCATGAACAAGCGGTGGAAGTGGATAGGATACACACTACGAAAAGCACCGAACTGCGTCACAAGACAAGCTCTCAATTGGAACCCTCAAGGTAAAAGAAAAAGGGATGGCCAAAGAACCCATTACGCCGAGAAATAGAGAGAGGCATGAAAAGAGTGAGCAAAAACTGGAAAGGGATGCCCAGGACAGAGTTGGTTGGAGAAAACTGCTCGGCGGCCTAAGCTCCATTGTGAGGTAACAGGCGCAATTAAGTAAGTAAGTAAGTCAGTAAATAAGATGAATATGTTGGTTTTAATACCATACTTAAACTATGGTACTTATCCTAGTTAGGAATGTTATTCATCTTAACATTATACATTTTATAATTTGTAAAGATATACATTTGACAAATATTGCTGTACAAAAAACTGCACCAGATTATGATGCTGAAAAAGGTTGTAAATGGTCGATTGGTCGTTTACGTCGACATCTTTTAGCTAAATATGGTTATAAAAAAGTAAAGATGTATATATATATATTAATTTTAATCATTCTTTGAATTTAACATATATGATATTTTCCATTCAGTGTAAATTTAAAATCAAATCTTGTGATATTCATTATAGTGTAATGTTTTACATTGAAACTAGAAATTAATCTGTGGCGTTGAACTTTCATTATCTTCAATTTCCCGTATATCTCCGTCTTGATGATCGCTACGAGAGAACACCACGAGTCGTTCGTTTGTGTGGGACTTAATCTCGTTTACGAACTGCTGTAACACGGCTCCAACAGCGATGTCCCACGCGTCAGTCATGACGGCTAATGGAGCTTCCTTTTTTTTCATCGTACTAACATTGTCCTCTCATTTAGCAAGCGCTTAGCGTTCTCGAACGCTTGTATGGCGTCTGCTGACAAGTGAAATTTTCGGCCACGTCCTCACAAAGCGTCTGTTAACGGTTGCACTACGGTTGCGCAATTTGGAATGAATCGTCTATAGTAGTTAATCAGCCCAAAGAATCGTCGTAATTTCCTTTGTGCTTCGGGCAATGGATAATCACGAATAGCTACAACTTCTGATGGAACTGATGTGATACCTTGAGAATTTATTATGTGTCCTAGAAATGGCAGTGATTTCTTTCCAAATTCACATTTCTCAACGTTAATGACGATACCGTGTTCTTGTAGTTTATTGAACAACCGTCTTAGTTGTTGTAGATGTTCTTCCGGTGTAGCACTAGCGACAAGTTTGTCGTCGATGTATACATATACGCCTGACAAACCTCTAACAACCTGGTCTATGAATCTTTGGAAGGTTTGAGCTGCATTTGTTAATCCGAATGGCATTCGCAAAAATTCGAATAATCCGAATGGAGTGATTACGGCCGTTTTCGGTATATCCTCCTGCACCATGGGGATATGATAATAAGCTCTAACAAGGTCAATCTTCGAAAAGATAGTGGCACCTTTCATGTCGTTGGTAATGTCATAGATATGTGGCACTGGATATCTGTCAGCAACCATTTGTTTATTAAGAACTCTATAATCTCCACATGGTCTGTACTGTCCATTCCTTTTTTGTACCATATGCAGCGGAGATTCCCAAGGACTACTCGATGGCCATATTATACCAAGTTTCATCATTTTGTCAAATTCCTGTTTCGCAATGTTTAACCTTTTTCGTTCTAGGCGTCGTGGTCGTGCGTTATAAGGTGCACCTCTTGTTACAATGTGATGTTGTAATGTATGTTTGAGATCAGTGTTATCGTAAGACACTTTCGTCAAGTCAGCATATTCGTTTAGGAGCGATTTATATGGATTGTATTTGTCTCTTGACACAACTAAATTCATAGATTCGTGGTTGTCAGTGATTATTCCTCTTATCACAACTGTACAGTCTCTCGTCAAGAGTTGGTTTCGTCGAGAATCTACTAATAAGTCGGAATTCTTTAAGAAACCAATACCGATACGTCTGCGTTAAATCATTGTTTGACTACCATTAGTAACCCGGTAGAACTGAATGGCCGTTTTGCCTTCCTAGTATGTGGTACTCATCGGCGTCAGTGTGTATCCACAAGCCACCTAACAAGAATCCAGCTCAGGACCATCAGTCCCTTGCGCGAACGCATGTCGTGTAGACTACTGAGCCGGCATCCAATGGTGCTAATGTGGTGTGAGCTACTTATAAGTAGTATATGACGTGAGTGTAAACGTAATGTCCGGCAGCATAATATGGGGGAAGATCAAGAAAGGAAGAGTTAGAAAACAATGGAATTTGTATGAAACGCATGAATAGTGACAATCGATTGATATTTGGCAACAGGAACAGTCCAGTTCGATAGGATGAACTGATCTTTTGCAAATGAACAATTTACGATATGGTTTTCCGATTTTACTGAGTAACAATTCGGTGTTCTCGTTCACTACACTAATACTTAACTTTAATCAATCTACTTCTGGGATTGTGAAGGTCTTGGGTTTGATTTTGTGCGAGCAGGGTTCGTGAATGCTCAATGCTAATGAATAATCTCATACGACCCTCTCTAGGCCTTCCTTTCTACTAGTTCAATCCAATTGTTGTTCATACTTTTTATGTTTGCTTGCATTTCTTCGCTTGATGTGTATCCCCTGGTCTTCTTTTTTTCCTTTGGCCTTGTGAGAATTCCAATTAAGAAGCTTATCTTGTGACACAACTAGTGATTCCTACAATGTGTGCCCTATCCGCCCACCTCCAACAAAGTTACAAACTAATACTGGATTCATGTGTTCAAATGTGAACAACATTTCGTGATTCCAATATAAATCAATAACAACCATCTCCATTACAAAATAATAATGCAGAAACCATGAACAGCTTCATGATTAAATTCTCGCAATTCTAGTGAGAAGATGTGTGTGACCAGTGGAGTTCAACCCTGTTGGATGTAGGCAGTAACCACTAAGAATAACAAAACAAATGAATTCATCTTATTTTGGCTGGACACCTAAATACTAGTGCGCCATATAAATGATTGAATTTGTGAATTGGCTGCACAGATCGAAGTAGGGCAGCGTTTTAAGGGGGTCGCTCTCCCCTAGCATTGGACTCCGAGATCTAATCTACGAAGCAGTGGATCAATGTAAGCAGATAGATACAGTGACATGGTACTCGACTATAAACAGTAGCCCGACCGAAGCTGCTACCTTGACGTGGTGGTCGGGCTTGCCTATCGTGATGACCCAACCGAGCTATACTGGCTGGAAGTGATGCTCCTGAAGGTTCTACCATGCCAGGCAGGTCGATTGGAGAAGGATGAGACTAAAAGCAGCTACTCAAGGTCTGAGGGCGATGTCGTACTGCTGACTGCAGAGGGGTGTGACAGCAGTAAGGTGTTTCCCTCGGACACCCAGCATCTGCAGCAGTGCTGCCTTCTCACAAGGAAGGAATGGTTAGAAATGGTCGACCCTAAACATGTCACACCTCACCCTACCTCACGGATTTCCGTCTCCGGCGGTTAGGGTGCCTAATAAGGGCTTTCAAGTGCGGAGCTAATCCTCAAAAAACCTTTCATAAAAAGGCTGTGCGTGACCGGCCGCAAGCAGTTGTTCCTTGGACTTTGCGGTCACGCACCCTTGTCTCTAAGACCAACAATAATCTACCTTCCTTTTCAGGTCCCTCAAGAAACAACCTTCCACGGTGTGGGCAGCCGTGAAGTGACAACCGCCCTCATACCCGTAACAGCAGACCAGAGACAAAATTGGTCAAAATCAAATCCTTCCTAAACCCCCTAATACCTCTCTTATCTCCATGATTAACTCTTCTCAAATTCATTTATCACAGTGTACAGCTAATGCAGACGATGCGAGTTCACGAAACGTCGGTCCTGGTCTCCTTAAACCTCGCTCTAGACTACATGTTGGAGCATTCAATGTACGGACATTGTGTCAAATAGGGCAACAGGCATCATTAGCTAGGACTTTAGAATCTCGTGCCATCGATGTGTGCTGCGTCTCAGAAACGCGCATACAGGATCCAATTAGCATCATTCATTTGACCTCGCCTTGTCAAAATAAAGAAGCAACTCGATTTACCCTTCGTGTATCCGGTAGCCGTGATGCTTCTTCTAGGGGTCTCGCTGGTGTATGTATAGCATTGAGTCGTAGGGCAGAACAAAGAAAATATTTCAAGAGGAACTAGAAAAACAGTTAGGCGACCATGCAAGTAATTCCCATCCGGAGTCAGGTTGGAATGATATCAAGAAGGCTGTGGAAACAGCAGTGATATCTGCTAGTAAGGTAAACCGTAAAGCTAGAATGAGGCCGTTGGTTTCAGTCGCATTCACTGAACTGATGGATGCTCGAAAACGCATCCCATTTGACTCTGAACATGATGAAGAGTGTAGTCAGCTTAGGCGCATTACCATTTATACCTCTACTATCTTTATCATTATGGGAGTTGATTTGACATTTGCGTCTCTGTGCTAATGTGGTATGGCAACATGAACTTATGTACATACGTACGAAGTTCTACGTTGCAACTGACTGACTGACTGACTATAAACAGTAAGTTCATACAACATTCTTTATTTTAGGATCCTAAAGTTCATGTGCATCATTGGTTTGATGGATTCTACTTATCTACCAACCCGGTTCCTGTTCCGAACATTCGCGCATTTCGCTCTCCAGACTCCTGAAACAAAACCCTTGTATGAATAGGCAATCGGTAGGACTCTCAAGATCGAGAGTGGATTCTCTCTATTCTCAGTCATAGCACATTATTTAAGGGAAATTTTTGTGTTATCCTTACCAACAACTTCATCAGTGACGAAATTTTGATAAAATCAATGTCCTAAAGTTGTTCATTCATAACACAGTTATAACAAAATTATAATTGAACTGATTCATTTCTCAATGTCTAATGTAATAAACGAAACTTTTAAGTAAAAAAGTATTCATCAACTGTAACGATGATCAGATATAACCATTTATAACTTAATAAACATAAATAATTAACACGTTGAAAACATCAATCAATCAATCAATCAATCATTGTTAGACCACCATTAGTAGTAACCTAGGAGCACTGGACTGCTGTTTCTTCCTGATGGGACAACTCATCAGTGCCAGTGCGCATCCACGACTCCTGCAACTCACCGGATTCAAAGCTAGGGCTTTCGGTTTAGCACGCACACGCCTAACCTCTAGAATACTTACTGGGCCAGCATTCAACAATGTTAATGTCTACTAACTCTGACCAATCTAAGGATTTTGTGCAACCTCATTCATTTGTCTTCGGATAGTTACTGCCTACATCCGACAATGTTGAACTCCACTCTGGTCACGCCTTCTCAACTAGAACTCCGAGAACTTCCTCACAAAGCTGGTAGTCACTAGAGAGCACAATGTACAATTTAAAACTAAACTCTAATGTTTTAGGATACATTTTCTTCGGAAATCAATTCTAATTTGTATTCCATGATTTATTCACTAAAGATTCCCATTGTGAACATTAGAACAACACAGATATATACATATAAGCGAACAATATTGTTTTCAATTAGATCGTTATCAGGTTGGAATATTTATATGAAAATGTTGAACCAGTCAAGGCAATAATCACGATGCAATAGATTACGTAACTACAACACTTAATAGGCACAAAATACAAGTACTGATAATAGTGAGAAAAATAAAAATTCGATAGCAAAAGTTTATTTTGTCAATAGTTCAAAAAATGGAAGTAGTAGTGTGTCAAACATGGATAAATAAACTTAAAATGATCATCACTGAACATTGAAACAATTACTTAATAAAAAGTGTGTGAACAATATAAGCCGAAACAAATACAGGATATGAAAATAATGCTATTGCATAAAATTGTTTATATCCGGTTATATCCGATCAAGGAAGAGAGACAGGGTTGTCATGACATTCTTCTGAACACATAAACTGGAGTAGAATGTTCGAATTCCTACAGCTTCTGCTATATGTAGGAGACGGGAAATGTCGGAGGTGTACAATAGATCACTCTAAATGATGACCACACCCGAGTGAGCAACGCTGTTATTAGGAATCGGGTGCTAGGTAAGAATGGCAGATCAATAGATGAAGTAATGAAACTTCATCAGTTGAGGTGGTTGGGACATGTGTTGCGTATGCCCAACCACCGACTGCCTCGTCGAGCTTTGTTTTGTAGTGTAGGAGGAGTAGGTTGGAAGAAAGTTAGGGGCGGCCAAACAAAAACATGGCAGAAATCCATGAAGTCATTGACAGGTGAACTTAGCCATGTCGGTAATTGTCGACTACCTGGTTGTGGTCCACGAGATGATAATAATCGATGGTTAGAGACCTTGAATGGCATGGCTCAGAATCGTTCGCAATGGCGCCGGTGCATTTATTCTTTGTGTTCTCTCAAATCCTAATCCTCTGGATTCTTCAACACCTCTAGTTTTGACTTTCTAAACTTTTCTCAATGAATCATACTTCATGAATAATATCTCATCCTAACCTCTTTGATTACTTCTAATACCTTTACTACCTCTACTACTATTGGATTTGAATTGACAATTACATGTCTGTTCTGATGCGGTATGGCATCATGAACTGATGTACTTACATACGAAGTTCTACGTTGCATCTGACTGACTGACTTCTATGATGACCACTGTCAATCAGGTATGTCAAGATAGAACTGCGTATTGTTTTTACTAGGAGTTCTTTCTAAATCATTCTGAAACTGGTGTCTATCCATTTGTTGGTTAAGGTGCCTGGTAATAGTACGCCTAATGACAACAGTCTATCTGAAAACAATATTGTTCACTTGCATGTGTTATTATTTATTTCATATCAGATATTGATAATTTAATCTTCTTGTTTCTTTTCTTTTAATACGTCAAAAATTTTTTCGTTTTTTAGGTGGCAGAATTATTTCATCAAATCGATATGATATTTATTGGCAGTTTATTAAGTGTACAAAAAATCATTATCAATGATAAACGTTGTTTTGAATTGTATGGTTATGATATTCTACTTGATAATAATTTACGACCATGGTTATTAGAAATTAATGCATCTCCTTCATTGACTGCTTCGTCTAAAGAAGATTATCGATTAAAAGTTAGTGAAATAGGGATTTTTTTAAAACATTTATTATGATTGAACATTGATTTCATTCAATCTCTGTATACAGTCAATGTGAAATGAACATTGAATTTTGAAAAAAAGCATCAACACACAAAAAGGAATACAATTTAAATTTTAAAATGTATAAAGTTGATATCTATACAAGAAGTGTTTTTTTTAATGACTTCTATTGTTTATATTTCAACGTTTATAGTTAAATTTTGTCCTACTGTTTCGAATGAAGAAGGTTTATAGATTTTTATGAATACTCTATTTACTCGGCCAGTCAAAAATTTGTTTCTTTTTTAATCTAATATTACTGATGCCGGTATGTTTAACTTTAGAGGAACAAATAAATTGACAAATGCATCATACTTCAGGCATTGAATAAGAGATCCTTTAGTTGAATAATAAATGTATATTGATTGGAAAACAGAGCAGAATGTGTATTTTACAAACATCCAGATAGTGCGGGGTCCGAGTCCAGAAGAGGGCTAAGGATCCGGGTGATGAAACGTTACAAATAATGCATATTTATACAGTTAAGTCGAATAGGAAACAACATCCGTAGTGAGATTGATAGTTAGGATGACCAACAGGAATTGACCAATACAAATTAGACTTACAAATAATGATCTCAGGATATTTGGTGAATATATGGTGACAGTTTCTTTCTAATTTGTCAAATTCCAAATCTGGTAAGCATATTGGTGTTTTTTGTAAAGTTTGTTACACATATAATAGTTTCAAAAGTGATGAAATTATAAAACTGTGTGTAAGTAAACAAAGCGTGGTCAGATTTCCATTAATCTATGAATAGAATTAACAGTCATACAATATCGTGAATTTAAAGAAATAATCATGGTAACCCATGATCTTTTAGTCAGTGACTACATTCACTGCAAAACGTGGTCTTGAATTTGATCTTGAGTGAAAACATAAGTTTTTATCTTATTCTATTTAGTTGGCAACATTTATTTATTCATACATCATGTACAAATATTAGCCGTGATTACTAAAACTTTATTTGTTAAAAATTCTACTTGCCAGACTAATCTTTTGGATGATATGCTAGATATTGTAGACCTGGAAGGTCGTCTGACAAATCTTGAGAAACGTGTTGGTGATTTCGACCTAATCTGGGATGATGGTCCAATACTTCCTACGTCTGATACTACAGAAGGTTGGTTAATCAATGCATTGAATACGATAAATCCATTCAATTCCGAAAGCCCGTCAAATTCAATTCATGTATTCGGACCTAATGGACTGCCTAGACTTAATTCATTTCTTGGTTGTACTTCACCACAATCACCTAAATGTAGGATGAGCTTTAAACCTTAGTGCTTGGACTGTTGTTGTTACCTAGTGATGATAAGAAATAATGTACAATTAGATTATTCCGCTGTATAAAAATTTCTATATGATATTAAAAATAAAAACTAAAATTTATAACTCAGATATTTTGTTTGCTAAGCGTTGAATTTAGCGGTTCTATTATGTAAACAGTGCTCTGATTGATTCTAAAAAAAAGAAAGTTAATAAAGGTTTTTCTATTTGTATTGGTATATATTTGGGACAAATAGTGTAAACATAACATCTCTGAAACGCTCTGAGACTGCAAAATATGGGTATGAAGTCGGTTATGAATCATATGTACATCGTTTCAAGTTATGTCAATGCCTCCAATATCCGATATATTCTTCACGCGCTAATATGAAGCAACTGATTTCTATGTGCGCACCCAATTCTTGTTCTTTCAATACAGTTCCAGGTAATTTCCTATAGATGATAGTCAAGCTACTCGACTGAGCTAGTTTTAGTCAGTAGACAGTCTCTTATAAATTTTTATATCCCGTGATTTGTGTGAGTGCGTTTGTTTCAGGGCAGTAAAATTTCTGTATGCCAACAGCTATAATGTTACGGGACTGGGGATCGGTTAGTTGCAGTTAAGAAAATGATAGGGAGAAAATTGATGCGCAATTTTTCGAGGATTACCATGAGAGGCATGGTACTGATGCTTCTGTATGATGTTCTTATAGGGATAATTTGGCTTGGTTAATATGTTGTACGCAATTACCAAATAACCTCCGACTCTCCTACAACTCAGAGGTAATAATCCCAAGTGCGGAAGTCGGTCTTCGTAAGGCTTATTATTCAATCCTATCACCCGTTTAGTTGCTCATCTCTGTCATCCATCCTAGAGAGTTATATCTTTTAAGGAGAGGGGGTGCGACATTGTTGTAAGCTTCAGAGCTTTGCTGTGCGTACATGTTGAAAAGAGTTTGGAAAAATTGTGGAGTGACTGCACCAAGTTATCTGCGCATAAACTGAAGGGTTACTCTAGCATTAGCTGCATCACTTATGTAATTTTAACTGGTTTTCCAACTCATCATCGGTAATAAACAGAGATCACGCTCTTAGGAGACATTACAAAGCGGACTTTTTCAAGGATGTATTTTTTGCGTCATGGTGGACAGAATGTTCGCGACGTGACATTTAGACTGGCTGAGTTTTAACCCGTTTTCTACTGCCCACTAATCTGAGCAGGCTGTACAGTTTTCACATGCTATGAGAAGTTTCGATGCTCATGACATTCTCTTCCTAAACCTATAGTGAGCTTCACTGAGGATGTTACCCTTATCAATGTACTTCCTAATTTATGTATTCACCAGTCTCTCCATTAACTACAAATATATCGGTAGTAATGAGACTGATGTTTAGGAAGGTTAGATCCATCTGAGAGTACATATTCCTTGCTCCTTAGTCCTCACACGTTGTTACTTAGGCACTTGGTGGCCTTTATCATCAGCTGGGGCACCTATGCAGCAACAGTCATTGTTGAATTTTCAAAGGAATTGCTGTAACCAAGTTGGCCAGTTCCCACAGAATTGTCCTCTGCAGGTGTTTTTGCCAGTGCAGTGCGTATAATCGGCGAGACTATTAACTTAATGTCTTGTGCCGAGGGTTGTTGATCGAGGTCCAATGCTGTTACAAAGATCTAGGTTGGCTCTTGTTGCACTTAATGTGGCTACAGATATTGTTCTTCATGCTATACCAAGCCTGTGGGGCTTTAGTAAGGCCTTCCTGATTTCAGAAGTCAGCAGCCATCAGACGTGGAATCTTATTGATGTTAGGCAGCCGGAAAATGCTAATTGCCATTGTGGTGTGAAGGCCTATGCTACATGATAACCATCGCCATTATTGCACGTCATGTGAGTGAGCTTCATCCATGGTACCACTAACCGGATCAGGCACTCGGTAAACCACCATAATGATCTCTGCCTTTTTATTTCCTGGCCGCTGCTCGTACTGACCACGATTTGTCGCTCTTAACTCCAAACGTGGAGGATAATTTAACCGAGGATCTACTGGATGTGTGCAGAAATTCTTCGGCAACTTTTGCCGCGTCTTAAGTTACCCTCAACAAAGAGGGAATCCCTTCAGAGACGTTCTGACCGTTGAACAGACGGCACAGCTTTGCTGGGGTACTGCTCATTTCAAGCATTGCACAGCAATTGTCCTACTGTCCCTAATTGTCGATGACAGCCCTTCACTCCGGTATCTATCCCCCAAAACCAGGACAATGAATGAAATACGTGAACTTTGTCTAGTATACCTATTCTTGAGTTGTGCACATTATTGAAAAGTTCTCTGTCAAGTAACCTTTTTAGTGTCTTGAGAATTCTGTGGCTGGAGGCTGGGATTTTTGACTCACTGCTAACCCCAGAATTCATACCCTCACTAGTTTTCCAAGTTAACATAGTGTAAGAACTGGTAGCAATGATCTTACTGTATTATTCAGCAGATGTAAGAGAGCACGAAATAAATTGAAGAAGATACTGGAGATATGGGTTTCAAAGGTGGAAAATAATAATAGAATGGAGTGAATATATACTACACACGTATACAACCTGAAAGTCATCCTAAATTGTAACTTCACCACTGACCGTCTTGAGAGGCGAATGCGCGTGGATCCAGTAACTTATCAGCAAGTCCTGTGTTTGTGAGTAAATGAGTGTGCCTATGTCTTCGAAGTAACTATTGATAGAGCAGTTGATAGAGTTAGCTAGACGTAGCCTACAGGTGTTCTGACTTCAAATTATTACGTTTATCCGAATTGTTAATTTACCTGCATACCGATGAACGGCAGGGATGTTCAGTATCCCAATCTGGTGTTAAAAACTGGATTGTTTCCTGTAAATGGCCTGCGGTAAACGAGGACAAGCCAATTTGGAAGCACGTGCAATCAGGAAGTTTGTTTTTGAATCAAGCATTTAGACTGTTTCTGCAGATACAGCATTTTAAAAAACAAATGTTTTTCAGAAATGAATGTATTTTTTTACTGACTCCCACTTCACATTTATTATCCTTTTTCGTAAATATCTTAGTCTTAGAGCGTTTACGTATTGGACTGCAAAGCTAGGCGATAATGTTTGAAATTAACTAGAACCCATCCTCCTCCTCAAGATCACGAGCTTGCCTCGCTAGTAAGAGCAGATTTTCCACTCTTTATTAGTTTGGTTTTTGTGGATAGAGCTAAATAGACAAGAAACTATTTGGCTCGTGATGTGGTGGCATTAGTTATTAAACACACAATCTCTGAAGCTGGATGCACAATAAATGAAATGATCAGCATCGTCTTTCGAACACTTGGAGAAAACCAGATAGTATGAAGTCAGGGAAGCGCAATCAAAACGGCACGGTCTTATAATTCAGACCTGCTAGTGTACATGTGTACTGCTGAAGCACTAAAAGGCGTACTGCTGATTGTCATGACAGAACGAGTCAGTAGAGAGAATAATATTACTTCCACATAGGAACTTACATATTAAGTAGTCACATCATGACAGTTTTACGATTGTGGGATAAGTCTTTTGCTTTAGCGGCATCTATAAGAGCTCTTGGACTACCACCTTCCAAAGTCACTGTCGCATGGAGAAGACAGTTCTAATAACAGTTCGGCACTAGTAGCCATGGTAAAAATGTCGGTACAACAAGTCTTGAACTGGCAACATTGGAGTGCACTTTTCTCCAGATCGCAGCAGAACTTTCCATCTAATCTAAAACAGATGTATTCGGCCCTATTTGGATTATGGAAGTAAATAATTTTCTCCCTCACTCCAAAAGAATTAGAATACACTGCAACATATCCAAAAGTAAGCTATGGAATCAGTCCTAGGGCTGAAATCCGAATTTATGATAAACGTCTCATACCAGTATACCTTTTCCAGTTAGATAAAGGCGTCTCAGAGATGACCTAAATATTTGTCATTCTGATCACTCATGGGGAAACTGCTAAATTATTTATCTAAGTTCAGTCGTAGGAATTGTAGAATCCTTTTTGAATGTTTTGTGTTTTGGAAAATCCCTCCATGTTTACATATTTTTGTTATGACAAGACGGACTTTTTCTGTTGACATTTTTGGTATTTTATTTGATTCCAATTTGAGATTTTATCATTGTATATTGTTATTCTTCCTATATTTTGTACTTATATTGAAGTTTTTGTGTTTGCTTCTGATCTGTATATATGTTGTTTAAATTTGATCTTTAATATGGCTACAGCCATATTTGGATTGATGCAGTGGCCGCTGGACTTAGTGTCACTTATCTATCACTGCTTCTGATACTCTTCGGAGTAATTGTATCCTGGAAGAGGCACTATTTCCAGGTAATGCTTTGTATTTCCATGTTTTTATTAATAAAGACCGTTTTCACCTAGAATTTTTGCTTTTTCTGGACCTTGAATTGGGAGATACGCGTTCGGAGTGCACTTATTGGAACCCATTGGAACTGCCACCGTAGAAATCCATTTACAGGAATGATAACTGTAGTTTTATTTCTACAGTGGCCGTCCCAACGGGTTCCAATAGAGGCACTCCTGTACACTTTTCCCAGTTCCGGGTCCCAACCAATTCAAAAAGGACAAAATTCTAGGAGAAAGCGTCTGTATTAGTTAAAAAATGGAAATACAAAGCATTACCTGGAAATAGTGCTTCTTCCAGGGTTCAGTTACTCCGCAGAGTATCAGACACAGTAACAAATAAGTGACGCTAAGTCCAGCGGCCACTGCATCAGTCCAAAAATGTGGCGGTAGCCATATTATATCAAATTTAAACAACATATGTACAGTTCAAAAGCAAACATTAAAACTTCAATATAAGTACAAAATATAGGAAGAATAACAATATACAATGATAAAATCTCAAATTGGAATCAAATAAAGTACCAAAAATGTCAACAGAAAAAGTCCGTCATGTCATAGCAAAAATATGTAAACATGGAGGGATTTTCCAAAACACAAAGCATTCAAAAAGGATTCTACACCGGCCCGCAAAATCCCTCCATGCAAAAAGAGCAAGCGTTAATGACACTTTATTTAGGGTTCCCAGTTATCGCCTAA